GGCCTCCAGCTGGACTCTGCTCCACTGATCAGAACTCTCTGAGCTCTACCATTCAGATCGACGTTCTTACCAACTAAATAACATCATGGGCAAGCAGGAGTTAAAAGAATTGGGTTTTATTTTCAACACTGCCATCAATTTATGCTGCAATAGAAATATACCTCTTTACACTAGTTTATTCATTTATGAAACATCTGTTAAGCACTTCAAGAACCTCAGATGAGAGATGCAGTGTAAATGCAAAGCATTACCTAGAAACAATTTATAAGTCTCCATGGAAACTGAATCTCCAGTTAAATAGTGCGTAACTGTATTCAATATACCAGTCTATAAACATTCAGCTTTGAAACCCTTGGTACCCACAAGACACATGAAGCAAAAAGCTGTAATCCATTTATAAAGGTCCAGGAAAACATGACTGATTTCTGAACACTTTCACTTTTAAATATCTGTTGTATGCATTTTGTCCCTCAGGAAAAAAGCGCCTCAAAAATCCAATTTAACCTTCAAACACTGGACACGGTAACTGCAGGAAAGATTGTATTTCTCTCTAAAACATTAAATTGTAATAAAATCTTACCTGTTTCAGATCAGCACTTTCACGTTTCTTTTCTTCCAACTCCTCTGTCTGAATAGCTTGCTGTTGAATTTTTAATCTGAAATTGTGTAAGACATCCTCATTTTTATCTAATTAAAATATAGATGTTAGAAGTGAGGACAAATCACTCTGACAATAGAATATATTGCATCATTTGAAAGGCTGATAAATATTTAACTAAACAATGACTGAAAATATATTTTTATTGATTATTAGAATTCATACAGGAGTAAGAAATGTATTGATTTGTTTTCTTTCAGAGTATGAATTTTTCTCATTTTATCATACTGATCTTCATACAAACACTGTAGTAAAACAACGTCACAGAGAACTATCATAACCAACTCAGGGAGACATCGTATATGGGTCCCACTTTGCCAGTCGCTGACCTGGTGCCATTGTGGAAAGAGAAAGGGCTTACTCTAACGCTGGGGCTATGCCAGCAGCCAACGTGGACCCAATTTTAACAAACATGAGTATTGCAAAATTATGTCTTAAAATGTTCATTAAAATCATGTAATTTTTAAAGGTTTGGATGAAAAAAATTGTGGGGTTTTTTTTTTTTAAACAGCACATTTTTAATTCTGCCTTCCTTTTACACAATGCAGAAGATAACTGTTTAATTTACCATAACGAACATTTGTGTATCTATGAATAGTAAACTTTTATACTGACTACTGTAAAGAAACTAGTGGGGGAAAATGAGAAATCTATGTTAAGGTTAGAAAAGCCACAGTACCGCAAACGCTGAAGTTCCTTTTTGCTAGATTCTTCTGCCATCTGTACAGCACGTAGTTTCTCTTCATAGTGATCCTTTTCAGATTGTCTCCAAGTATCTTGTTCCAGTTTCATCTTCTCTAGATCAGTTAATCTGTTCTCGAGTTCTAACCTAAGACATTATTCAACATGCACACAAGAATTGTGACAAAATGCCAGATGTGTTTAGTTGCTAAGAGTGACATTTTTAAATGTTACTCGAAACACTCCTCTTTTAGAAGTTGAGCAGTAAATCAACATACTTTTCATCCTGTAAGGCTGCAATTTTTTCAAAAACTTCCTCTTTGGCAGCTTGCACTTTACGAATTAGCTCCCGATCCTTTTCTACTAAAAGCACCTTATGACGTTCAACAGCTGCCTTAAGAATTTCCTTGTCTGACAGCAATCCTGCATCATACATTAAAAAAAGTTAAAATGTCATTATTGAGATTAACTTGATGAAATCCAGTATTAAAATAACTTCATAAATCGACAAAAGGGAGCTAAAAATCACAATTTACAGGATAGAATGAATGAATGGGGGGAAAAAAAAAAAAAATCAAGAAAAACAGAAGAGACATGGCCTTTTTTAGTGTAACAGCCACACTTCAAAAACTTTTGGAGAGTTGAAGAGTAACCATTATGCTGGAATCACAAGGGATTATTATTTTAACAAACAAGAGTAATTAAACAGTTGATATTATTATAGATTTAGACTCTAACGCAATTTCTGCCAAGCAGTTGTGTCTGGATTAAAAAGAGTGTTCCACAACAGCTATGAAAAGGTCAAGCAAGCAAATTTGTTATTTTATTTTTAATGGAAAAGTTTATGGTAAACAGTAACTGGTTACCAACAAAACCACAGTAACCTGGCTACACCAAATGTCACATTTTAATCCACTCATATTACTAAATGAGGCAATTCTGAAATTATGGCTCTATAGGCAGGGACAAAAGATGCAGATTAAAAACTTGTGACCACGACACCTGTGTTCACTGGCAGATAAGCCAACATGCTGTAACAATGACCCCAGGTTACTTGGCTAACTCAGTGATCCAAACTGGATACCACAGCAAGTTCAGGTTAGCTTAAATTCTGTATGTATTTAGCTTCGCATCTCATCGGGTCCAACATTTTTAGTTCGCAATATGCTGTAAGTGCATTGTCAATACAGAAAACACCAATTTTAGTTGCTTTTAGAGAACTTAATACTAAAGCAAGTGAACAGGAACAACTATTCCAGGAAGACAAAGGTACTAGTTTGGGGTTATGGCAAATCAGTGCGGACAGTCCACTTCAAAGCTGTGCAGGGATTTAAATCATCAACACATAACTAGCACTAGAAAGCTTTGGCCTTTTCACTCCAGAAAGCTATTTCAAGTTGCCTACACACTCAGCTGTGTTAGGTAGCTTAGAACATTGCCCATTTTCTTCAAATAACAAGCTAGAAACTGTATTTTGTTTCACATGGCAGCCTTACCCAAGTGTTCTCAATTCCACGGACATGGAATCAGAAAAAAAAAACCAACCACTGAAGCCCTATGGCACGTTCAGGTTTCAAGCAGAGTGTGAAAGACTCTAGAACTGGGCAATAATAGAAAAAATAACCACATGAAGTACATGATTTGAAACAGATTATGCTCAAATGGGGTCACAATATTCACCGGTTTACATAAATACAAAATTGTTCCATAACTGTTGTTCTTAACCAAGCAAAACAACACAGTTATTTCAGATACAAAATGAACTGTCAGATCTATGACCTAGACCAGAAGTGGAAGGTGAAGGCTGCTGGGGAACATTTAAAGGAAATATAATTGTAGTATTCTAATGAGAAGTTACAAAAGAAATCATTAGAAATTAATTGCACGTTTTACCATCCATTTCACTTTGAATCTTGTTTCTCTCTCTTTCTACCTCACTCTTTGTTCTCGCTGCCTCCAGTTTGACATTCGTTACTTCCAATTTATGCGAATGTTTAAGTTCTTCTACCTACGAATTAGAAAAAAAGAAAAAATCCACTAAAATAAACATATATATTTAAGTTTTTCACATGATACTTTGCTAACAAGAAAATCTGCCAAACAACCCTAGACTACACTGATTTTAAATATACCCTAAATATTTTTTTTCATCCACTGCTTTCCTGAGGCTAATCCAGAATATCCACTCTTGCAGATAATTTTTAATGGTGATTATATAGATACTGTAACACTAAAGCTATTGACATGGTCCGATTTCCCAAATCATAATCAGTGCTATTACAGGTTCTTATTAACTCCTCAGGTGACACACTGAAGATTACTGAATGAGTTGTCAGTCATCTTGAAATGCAAGTTCTATTCTTGAGCATTCCCTGAGTAAAAAAAAATTAGAGTGCTCAAACACAACGTATATTCCAGGAACCAGGCTGCCTTGACTACTGACAGGTATTTCATCTTTAACCAGCCAGCTATGACAAGCTACAGTGTAGAAAAGTTAATCTGTTAAGCAGCCGTGGTGCTATCTGCACAGATGTGCAGGATGGCCTGTGAAAACTTGGTTCCTGAGTAAATACTACACATTCTACAAGCTAGCCTCCAAGTAGTGGGGTATTTCTGAAAAGACTACTCATTGGAAATGTCTTGCTATGACACTGATCCAAATAGCATAAGACCCCGATGCCTCACTAACTCAAGCATTAGCATGTCAGTTTACACATACTTCACTTCTGACTACAGGTTGCTCAGAGTCAAGCCAAAATACAGCTAATCTCCCTAAGTAAGACCAAACAGTGACATGGAAAACCAAATTATCAATTGCTCCCCCAAGCAATTTCAATTTGGTAACTACTTATAGTCCTCCCGACCTCCTGGAGTGCTACACTACTTTCTCAAAATCCAGGTCTTCACAGTTTTAAAGTGCATTTCAAATTAAACACTTCTCTACAGCTGTGACATGCACATCAAATGGCCTCATAAAAGCAGGAGCTTTAAGAACATCAAATCAAAGACAATTACTGCTTGCATGGAAACTTTCTATAGTTTAGGCATTTGTACGCAGTAATTACACGGTCAATGAGAATTAAATATCTAGAGGAAAGCACTTAAAATGAAAATCCATTCACAATGACAAATGTAATTACAACCTGCTAGCATATACAAGTGGCAAAAGGTTAAGAATGACATAGTAGCTTATTAAGTAACTACACGGTGGATTTGGTTGCTTAAATACTGAGAACATTTCAGGGTAACTTGTGAAGACTTAAGGTGGCTTTTTTAAGGCAGAAAATCCGGAAGACAAACGTGAGCACCTGCGCTCAGGAATAAGTCTGAGTGGGTGCAGGAAGAGGTTAGCAGAGAAATTAGTTTCTACTTTCCTCCCTTCAGGAAACACCACTCAACATTTAAATTTTCTTCTACTTCTAGAGGCGAGCAGACAACAACAAATGAGCACTGTAACAATCTTCTACATATTCTGATAGACAATTGATTAAAAAATGTTGAACAGAAGTTTTTCCCTCCTATTTATTATTCATGTGAGACAAGTACGTCACATTGTACAAAGAGGCTTTAAATACTGGTACAGGTATATCCTATTCTTACAGTAAATTAGAACTTTTTTGGACTAAGGACCAAAGTGAAATACTTCACACTCATAAATGGACACTGTAAAGCCTGTTTTGATTTAAATCTGAGGTTGTTAAAGAACAACTATGGTAGAAGTTGAAGTTTTCTTCCTATATTGTATCTTTCTTGGGGCATATTATGAGCACATTAACTGCCGTAGGCATACAAAACGCTTATCAATGTCACATCGGAACGTACATTCAGAAATGCAGGATAGCTTTAAGTCAACAGAGAGCTTAAAATAATTCTGCGTTCAGCTAGATACACAAGACCAAAGTTACTGGCTTTACAGTTTGTTCAGAACTAACTAAAGCCTCTCAGTGATGTCAAGTTTCTTAGGCACTTTCAGGTTTTCCCTAAACTTGAAGCCTTCTGATCTTTTTTTCCTTAAGTACTTTTCTAGAAATCTAAGATCGAGCCCTGCCGCCCCACCCCCCCCGACCCCCCCCAAAAAAAAACCCATACATAGAACAAAACCTCTAAGATCTGGTGCCAACCCAGTACTAAGATACTCAAACATGTTGAAAGACAATGATCCACTTAAAATGATACGATGCAGTGCTGTACAAAATGTTCCTGCGCAAGCTACGCTGGCATTGGCCCAAGACAAACACTACGCTAATGTGACTATCCTGCTTCTAATACAACCGAAATCTCTGCAGGTGATCCCAATGCAGCTTGTTCCCTGTAGCTAACACAGCCCATTCAGAGGATGCTGCTTAAGATCTCTGGAAGCCATAGCTCCATTAAAAAAAAAACAAAAAAAAACCCCAAAAAATAAAAGAAAAGAATCGATTTAAAGTTCTATTGCACTCTACACACTTTATGAAAAAGTAATGCTTGTTTCCATCAAATAAGGCTGGCTATCTTCATGAGTACTGAAAACACGGATATAAAGACACCTTTTCAAGCCCTGTTCTATTTAGAAAAAAGATCCAGAAAATGAAATAAAAAGAGCGTAACTTCAATCTTTAGAGATACTTTTAGAATGATGTTTTGCCTGTAAAGTCACATATTCTGTATCTTCCAACTGAAATTGGGAAAAAAATTCCAACCCTATTTTAAGTCACATTGTTACGTTATTCTTAATGTAAAACAAACAGAAAAACTTAAACATAACAGGATATGTTATGTTTAATGTAAAATATATTTCAGATACCATAAAAGCACTTACTTTAGCAGCTAAGGAACTGACTTCTCGCTCAGCTTTGTGAAGTTTGCTAGTTAAGAGAATGTTTTGCTCGTGACTCATCCGCAGCTCTTTCTCAATTCGATCAATCTGTAATTCAGCAGACTTCTTTTCTGCCTTGAATAAAGGAGGCATTTGTAAGATTTTTGGAGCAGGGCTGTCTCTTATTATTCACTTGAAAGGTTCAATTGATCTAGGCTTTCATATATTACTGACCCTTTATATTGTATAATAATACGATGTATAAATATTTATCTTTGCTCAACAATATGTTCCAATACAATGAGCATCTTGAATTTTACTCAAAAGTTACAACTGTTTTTACTACCACTGCCTGCACAGAATCACACACAATTTCCCTCCTACTTCACAAGAGGCAGAGGCAATCTGACTGGGTTACAAGGCAGCAGGTATACCTACGAGTAAATCACTGGGCTGTAAACACCAGTATGACTATAAGTGGTGCTCAAAAACATGTCATATGTTGGCCTATGCAGTCATACTAATTGAAGAATTAACATCATGGACAGGAAATAAAATGCAGTATTATAGACTCAAGACCCTGAACTTTACTAAGTATCAAAAAGGTCATCTAACCTACAATTTCACCTTCCTTTCTCTGAACTGACCAATTTCCAGCAGGACTTTTTTTCAAGTTTTTTAAATTAAGAATATTACGGCGCTTTTTAAGTTGTGATCAGAGCATTTTGTAACAAAGGTATACAGCACTGGTAAGAGTAAAAAGGAAAATGAACCATCAATCTGTATGCTGCAACTGCATGAGAAATCTACATGGAAAGACTCACTACCTAGAGAGAAAGCAAGAACGGACAGGAGGACTGAAGACCACAGATAAGGAACATCTGATGATGTGGGACCCTGGGAAACATACAGCAGGCCAGAAATGCCAAAGGTTCTTTAAGGGAGAAAAACAGCCAAGAACTAAACAATTGCAGCAATGTGTTGGAAAGAGACACAGGTAGGCAAGAAAGAAGATGACACACGAGGAAAGGATTAAAAATTAGGGGAACATCATATGACATTTTTTTAAAAGAATAAAAAATTTACTGTAGCAGATTATTAACATATTGTCATCGGTTTCCAACTCCAGCCAAGTGACAAGTGCTGACATGACCATCTTACTGACTGCAAACACGGATATGACTCGCATGTTTAGAAAGGAGATCAATCCACAGAATCTCCCAGTTGAGCTCTCCACCTTTCCGAAGTTGAATTGGCAGTACATGACTCCCCATGTACTTAGAATTTGGTTTTAAATCTGAAACGTACAAATTGTGGAGTCAATGGCAAAATTATCAGCCACTTCAGCGACAGTTCTATGGGGCCAAGCATTATTCTCACTACTCTCTACAAGGAGACAAAATTTAAAAAAAATATATAAAATCTTACCTCTAGAGACCTTGCCATAGCCTGCATCTCAGCTAACTGTCGTACTTGTACTCTTTGAACATTTTCTGCTTGCACACCACAATTGTCTCTTTCTGCTCTTAGTTCTGCTACTTCTGCTTCTAAGCCTTTTAATTTCTGATACAGTTGTGCCTTTTCTCTAGTGAGGGCCTCCACACGTTTACCGTCCCTCGTGGGATCAACGCTAAGCAGCTGATTATGGAGTTCTTCTTTGTCTTTATCCAGCCTTGCAATCTGATAGTTGTCAATCAGAAAAATAAAAGCTTTTACATTGGTTAGGTGTCAGGCAGCAACAGATACAGCAGTTGGCAATTCAGGAAAGAGCAGCAGTGGGCATTTAAAATATTAAGAAATGACATTCACTTTTATTTTCTTTCTTAGAGTAGGAAAATCAACAGACACATTCTTTAATGTCTTTTTTGCTTCAGTTTTCACTGACAAGGCTTGTTGTCGGGCCTCAGATGTCCCTGAGCCCCCTAGCAGTCTGTGGGAGTAAAGCAGTACCCAAAGTAGACGAAGAAAATACTAGGGATCATATAATCCACTGGACACACACAAGTCTTTGGAATGGATCCAAGCATTTTGAAGGAGCCCACTGGTATAATTGCAACACTATTCTCTATCATCTTTGAAAAGCCATGGTGATCAGTGAATGTTCCTGATGACTGGAAAGAGGCAGACAGCACATCCGTCATCAAGAAGAGCAAAAAAGTCAAGAAGAAGGATCCAGGTAACTACAGGACAGTCAGCTTCACATCAGTCTCTGTGAAGGTTATGAAGCAAAACCTCCTAAAAGCCATTTCTAGACACAAGACAAGCTGACGGAAAGCAGGGTTTACCAAAAGCAACTCATGCCTGACCCACTTCTCTGCTTTCTAGAAAGAGGTGACTGGCACTACAGACAAGGAGAGGGTAGTGGATTTGTATACCTTGATTTTAACAAGGCATTTGACACATTCTCCCATAATCTTCTCTCTCACCAAATTGGTGAGATATGGGCTGGAAAAGTGGATGATAAAGTGGGTGGAAAACTGGCTGGGCTGCCAGGCTCAAAGAGTGATGATCAGTGGTGCAAAGCCCAGCTGACTGCCTGTAACTAGTGGGGTCTTTGTGAGATCAGTACAGGGTCCAATATCGATTGATGTCCTTGTCCTTGTTAGTGACCTGGATGATGGGGTGGAGTACACTTTCAGCAAGCTTGTGGGTGACACCAAACTGGAGGGAAATGGTCAACATGCTGGAAAGCAGAACTGCTGTTCAGAGGAATCTGGACAGGCTGAAGGAATGGGCTGACTGGAACCACTTCAACAAGACCAAGTCAAGCATCTGGGATGGAGAGACCCAATCCAACAGTACAGGCTGGGGGCAACTGTCGAGGAAGCAGCTCCACAGGAAAGGATCTGGGGGTCCTAGTAGGCAAGTTGAACATTAGTCAGCAGAGCACCCCTGCAGCACAGATAACCCACTGCATTCTAGCAGGTTGACAGAAGGATAGCTAGGATATCCAGGGAAGTGATCTTTTGTCCCCTTCCAGTACTCGTAAGACTGCATCTGGAGTCCGTGTCCAGTACACAAAGAAAAATGAGCAAGCCCAGTGGATGGCCACCAAGATGGTCGGGGGTTGGAGAACATGACATATGAGGACAGGCTAAGAGAACTATGCCTCTTCAGCTCGGAGAAGAGAAGAAGATGCACACTAGTGGGAACAGAGGCAACAGACACATTGGAACATGTGAAATTTTGATTCCCGTTAGGAAAAAAGTTTACCACAAAGATGATTAAATACCGGAATAGTTTGCCCAGAAAGGTTGTGGAATCTTCATCCCTCACAGATGTTCAAGACTCAACTGGACACGGCCCAGAGCAACCCAATCTCATTACGCTTCAAGATTTTAAGCAGGATGTTGGGCTAGAAATATGTCTTTTCCAACTTCTATTATGATTCCACATTTCTATAACCACAACAGAACTCAAATCTGCTAGTAACTGAAGACAGCCAACGTGATTGGGGCCTGTCAGGCAGAAAATAAAGCAACAACAAAAAAATCTTTCTGTTACAAGGTAGTACGATAGGTACAAACTAATTTTGAGACTGTAACTAACAAACGTGTTAATACATAGATTCTAGTGTTTCAAAATGAGTTAGGCGGACTGAATGTAATATTGGGGGCACAAGAGTAAGTAAGCGTTCTCTTGATATTTGAAGACTAGTCCAAATTCTGATCTGCAGCAGTGCTTTTAGAAGTTGCATCAGAGATGTCTATGCAGCAAAGTCAATTTCTGCAGCTAAAGCCCTCCAAATCCCTTTTATGAGGAGATTCAAACACTTATTTCATGCCACACCCAAGCCAGCATTTAAGAATCAGGATGTTTTTGTAGCTTCCTTGTGCTAAATGGCATGGAAGGTTAAAAAGGCTCAAAGAGAGAGAAACTAGATCACATTGTGCCCTAGGCTCAAGGTAATTTCATTCTCTGTGAGTGTGCTAATTAGCTGCAGGACTAGCACAAACTCAACAAGCCCACAAGAGAGGCAGGCTGCAAAGCAGCATGTGGGTTTAGCTCCAGGAAGGACAACTGTTCTGTTTTTAATGCATTGCATTTGCAAATTTGGTCTGATTTTGAAAGTGATGATTGCTTTGATTTGTGTCTCATGTTTGGACTAATACATTCAAATCTGGCATCTCAGGATATACACTCCCAGACAAATACTTAAATGAATATGCAAATGACATATGCAGCACTCATTTATACTGCTGTATATATTCAAAACACAAATAAGCTGGAAATTTATTTAGCTACACTTTTGAAAGTCCAGTTCTGAAACAGAAGATTCATGAATGGTTTATTCAAGAGTTAATACAACTGGAATAAAGTTACCAAGTTTTCAGTATCCTTTTGACCACACTGTCATGATCCAACTTGGTTGCAAAATGTACCCTTGTCTGGTACTAACATCTTCTGCTGCCTTCCTCTTGGATTAGTTGCCATATAAGTAATTTAAAATCTAAACTTACATCAGTTGCTCCGATAACTTATTAATTTCAGATTAGCATAACGTCCCAAATTCCATCACAAATGCAATTAAAAAAAAGCATTAGGCAAAGCTACTGGCTGTCATTTATCAGAAGGAAAGTCTATTCTTACTTATAATAGCACAAATGATATTGCAACACATCACTGAACAAACCTACAGAGACAGCTTTAGGCTAAGTCCTAAAAGTGTTTTGAAAATTAAGAGAACGGAAACAAACATTACGTTATGAAATGGTGGCAAGCTGACAACCCATCAAGTATCAACATTTTCACAATGTTCAAGCATCTTTGTCACCACACACATTTTCAGCTACTATAAATTCTACGTACCTCAGCCTCATATTTTATTTTCTTCTCCTCTAAAATATGTGCATGTTCTTCCTTTTGATGTTCAAATTCTGATTTCAGAAAAGTATGTTCATAACGAAGTTTGTTATATTCTGTTCTGTACTTTTCCACTTCCTAAGTTAGACAAAAAAACCCCAAAAAGATCAACCAGAAAAGTGAACATTTTTTAGACATAATTTTGCAATACTTATGTCCATGCAATGTTCCTATCATTTCACAAGTTATACTTGATGAACTGAATCCCTCCTTTTCCCCTCTTCTAGGGTTTCATCCTTCACTGCTGGGGGCAGCAGTACCAGACAAAGAACGTCATACTTTGCTCCCCTTTCAGTTTTAATTTCCTAAGGTTTTAGGAACAACTAGAAACTGGTGATCACTACTCTAAATTAAATTCTAAATGAAAAGAATTTCAAATCTTACTACTTACATTTTCTAGCTTCTGATAACGTTCTGTCATAGGAGATTCCAGTTCCTGCTGTATTTGTGCTTTTAACAGTTCTAGTTTTTGAGGAGTTAGCACCTTAAGATGGAAAAGTATCACAAATAACTAGTCATATTCATCTATTTACAATGTGATAGGACAAATAGCCAGGAATAAAGCATTTCAAATACGATTTTAGGAATCCTGCTTAATTTTCTATGTTTTTCTAAAGAATTTTCAATAACAGTTACAGAAGCAAAACCCCATGATATTAGTGAACTAAAAATATTCTGGGAAGACAACAGAAGCATTTAAAATGTCAGTATTTACTGGTAGAAGCAATACAAATGTCAAGCTGAACTGACAGGAGATTTATCTCCTTTGCAGGGGAGGGGGGGAAGGAAAAGTGGTCTCACACAAAAGATAAAGAATTACTGCTTAAGTTTTACCAAATGACAAGTGAAACAACCCCAAAGAATCAAAGTGAGCAATACCAAACCAATCTGTTGTAAAACACATGCCCTCCAACAGATACATGGGTAGTAGTTTGAAATGAAACTAAGATCAGGAAAGATTCCCTGCACTAAGGTCCATGCTGCATGGTTATTTTGTTAAGCCTTCTTGGGTATGGTTAATACAGCAAACTATCTACCAAGAAAAGGTGTTAAAAAAAAATGAAATCATCCACAACCTGTGACATATTCTAATCTATTCTACTTTTCTTCCACTTACGTGTACCCTGAAATCCCTGAAAACTAATCCTAGTTATGGTACGGAGGCACATCTCCTCCATTCGTAGCCTGGGACCCTTTGTTACACTTGTTTCCTAAGAACATGTCCTACATTAGTTTAAGGAAACAAGCAGTTAGAGAAAATGTCATCCAAGTTATCTTAAATGTTGGGGGGGTTCGTTTGGTTTTGTGATGCAGTTTTGCTTTTGTTTTTTTTTTTGTTTGGTTGTTTTTTTCTTAATATGAAGAAAGCTGAAGAGAAGATCTGTTTCATGAAGAGAAACAAGTATCTGTTTTTCCAGTCCCTTATCCTAACAGGTTTAGGCATCTAAGTTATCCCCCAGGACAGATGATTCTCCCTGTAACAGGAGAGCACGCACAGAGACCGAGGGTCTCTGTTTTATTAACACAGCACACGACAACCCACTTCAACCCACAGTCACTCTACAGACGAAACATTACTCAGGTTGGGTGTATTTCAAGATATCTGATAGACATTCAATCTAGGTATATACATGTTACAGAAACAGAAATATATGCATCGCCTTATTACAGGATTAAAATTCATATTAAATCCTGCAAGTAAAATTCTCTCACCTGCACCTTCAGTTTTTCCAGCTCTTCTGTTTTACCCAGCAACTCCTCTCGACATTCAGCAAGAAGAAACTGAAATTTGTCATGTAAAGCCTGCTTTTCAACTAACAACCGCTTCAGATCATCTTGTGATTTTGCATATTCCTCCTGTAATCTGCAAGATAAAATACATATTTATTTTATATTTACCCTCCAAAATTAGATCTTAAAGCTCAAAACACTCACATGCAGAAGCAAGCGTACAAATACCAAGTTAGAACTAAGCTATTAATATCCTCTTCCTGTAACATACTAAAAAGTTATCCCATATTTACAAGCATAGAAAATATTGCAGAAACATAATCTGCAATGTCTTACAGTATCTTGAATTGTTTATTTTCTAATATGAACAACACTCAAATCTGTCCTTGAATACTGCCATAGCTAACACACAGAAATCCCTTCCGCCTAACATTCAGCTGCACCTTTCAACAGCTCAAATGAAGAAAGCTGTTTAAATTAGTGTACCTTACGTGTTCTGCCTTCATAGTTTGATAATTTGCTTTATGGTATTCACATCGCATTTTTTCATCAATCAGAAGTTTCTGTAATTCTTGTGAATTAGCCGTATCACCATTTCCAACCACGGGAGGAAGGAGACTGCCCAAAGCATCCATTTTATGATGACTGTTCACGATGAGTATGGAGAGGACAAACTAAAAATTAACTTGTAACTAATCTACAATGCCACCCACTTCTGCTGACATCCCAGAAGATCAAGTCACCTGAACAAATACAAGGACATGTAATTAGCAATCAAGCACATTCACAGTTCAAAGATTTCACATGCTGCTTTTGCTTTCAGTACAGAAGAATCCTGGCTCTGCTGTAACTCAGGTTAGAAACCTCTACTGAAAGGGGAACTCTTCTCTGCACCTTCAGCCTGTCCTGAAAAGTAATAGCCCTTCCAGGGGCACAGAACAAACTTAAGCATGGAGATTATTTGAGTTAATACAAAATAAGCGCAAGCATTTCTATCTGACAGAGTACATGAAATGTTACTGTCATTTACGCTGTACACTGAGAACCAAGCTATGATGCTAGGAATGCCCCAATTATGCCTTGTTAACCAGAATTCAAGCAGAGGCCAGAGACATCAGACACATATAGCTCTTACTGCTACTTAGCACAGTCACAGTTGTCACACTATCCTAACAAGTTGTACTACTCAATACACCATCATTCTAGTTGGGAGAAGAGCAGTTAATTCTCACTGCTGAATTCCTATCAAGTCCCCTCTGGAGAAGAGTTAAGGTTTCATGGACCGTCTGGAAGATACCTGCCTGAAGTTCAGCCCTGAAATATATCATCGACACATGTCACTTCCTCGTTTTCAAAGTTTATCTTGCGGTTTCTTGTGACCTTTCCAGAAAGAGTTTTGCTAAATGTGACAATATCGGATTGGTGTGAGAGCGCTGTGAAAAGAGGAAGTATTCTAACATGCCTCATTAGTTTTTTTCAATATTAGAAGCAAGATGTATTAATCTGATCATTCCTGACACTTCTAAAGGATCTGGGGGAGGGAGGACTGTGACCGAATTTTAGGGAAGTTACAAAGCTTTGAAAACAACTACTCTGCCATTTTAGCTTTTGGCATAACTGGACCAGTGCCCAAGAACTCCACGGTGGCAGCGTACAAAGTGTAATTCAAAGTTTGTAACTTTGTACAAGGTAAAACTCAAACAGCAAAAAAGTTAAATCTCCACCATCACTGGAAATACCTCACCTTCTTAACATACACAGTTGAATATATAATGTTTTCTACCATTCCACTCTTTAAATCTTTCATGGACCTATCTTAAACATCTACCATTTTATTTTATAAACCCCTGAAATATAAGCAAGACGAAAATCTACCCTCCGTATAGGAAAATAAACGTTGCATGTCAGTGCCAATTCCACTAAAAGACATCATAATGTCACGGAAGTCTTACATTTAAGTTTTCTTTCCCATTTTTCTTTCTTCCACCAATAACATGGGAAAAAGTCAGAGGAAAATCTACCAGTGTTACACTAGTACAGCAAAGCAACAACAGCAACTTTGTATTCTGCTTTACCCAAATTTGGTGAGAGACTAAGGGGGAAGAAATCAGAATAAAGAACATTCTCCTCAGTGACTGTCCTATATACACAACCAATTCTGAAAAAAAACCCTTCTAACTAATACAGTATCTATTTTTCATTCCTGAATTTTGTTGGTTGTTGAAAAACAAAGGACAACAGCAATTTCAAAACTCAATATAAAGACATTTTCAATTGTTAAACCAACAGCTGTATGAGGAGAACTGGTCAGTGATCCGAAGGACAATAAACCATGTTTATTGAAAGGACAGAAAGTTCTGGTACACAGAGAAAACCCAAGGCAGCACATCCCTAAGAACTTCTAAGCATAGCAACAGGGTAGTCATGATCACTGTAAACAAACAAAAACCACACAAAAAAACACCCCACAACCAAACAACCGAAACCCCAAACAAACCCAACCACCAGGCAATACCACTTTTCTCTGTGCTCAGGTCTTTGCTTTCGTAAGCTACAGACACCAAATGTAACTACCAAACTGTAAGCCAAAGCTCAGAATCAGGAACATAGGATTTAAAGTCGGGTTTGAATCCTGCAGCTTACTTGAGTAAGAAGTATTTCTGAAGTGGCATAACAGATATAAAGTCAAAGACACTCGAAGAACCACGGCATTTTCTGAGAGCATATCAACCAAAAGAAAAAGATAAATGGAAGTGCAGCCTTTTGTACTCTCGATTCCAAGCCGCTGCTGCAGGTGGGAAGTATATTCTTTCCTCACAGCTTTTGATACTACCAAAATGTGCACAAATTCTAAAGCAAGACACACACCTGGTCATGTCTTCATCTGCATGAAAATCATGAAAAACAAAAAAGGAAAGAACAGAGGGAAAGAATTGTAGCTTACAAAACAATTGTTTCAGACTGCAAAAACCTAAGCACTATGTATTTAAGGGAGCAAAACTATTTTGGCTTGCAGGGACATCTAGTGGCAAATTTCATGATTTGCATTCCTGGTGACAACTGTGAAACAAACTACAACAGAGATTTCATTACTTCACGAGAGCTCTTTCCTTGAAATCATTAATAGCAACTTGCAATATTTAACCTACTCACATTCTTACAAATAAAACCAGTTTTTTTTCCCCAAATCAAAGTATTTCCTGGCAGTGAACTGTCAACAGTCAACATTGTTTAGGGCTACAAATATTGTAAGTATATTACTAACAAGAATTTCTTCTGTGCTAATGGCTTACAGTACTTGCTCACAGTCAATGAACAGACCTTAAATAATCTTCACAATTACACAAGACTGCACCCATAATTTTTGAGAAATACTTTAAAGGAACACTAGTTAAAATTTCTTCCTCCCTTGGAGGATCTGTTCAAGAAGTAGAAAACCATAAAACATACTTTAAAGAAACTAAAACCACATCATGTCTAAAATTAATTCTCCATCTATAAATTTGCCAAATTTTATCATGTTACAGAACCACAAACTGGTATCAGTAGCCCCAAAGTTGTACTATGAAATCTTAGCATCATTTTGTGCAGGCATGCATATAAAGGTGTTGGTGCAGAGTCCTGAAACATACTCAGCAGCTAAAATAGCAATATTTATTGTAGAATATCCAGCTAAGTGAAGTAACTCAATTACATTTCCAAGAATGATCTTTGTTTTGCCTTTCTTCTCCAATTGTTTATTTTCATACAGAAAGAAACATTGCTTAAAGACCTACTTCACATCTCTCCTTTACTTCTACATGTCATGAAAGGGCTTTTCTACTTTCACAATATTTTTCAGCCATATTATTTTAACTTTGTGTTCACTGCAAGCACTTATAATGGTGAGAAGGCTAGCATTTAGAGAAAAATATCAAGAGATCAATATAATTTTATTTATTTATATTAAAATTTTTATTTTATGTTGTTTCCAAAACCAAGGCTTCCTTCTAGCTTACCTGGCATAACCAAATTACATGATTTCAGCACGTATTGGTAATTCACCTGGGTGATATATGCAACTCGCTCATGGCTCTGCTTTCCATACATACCACAGCCACCCTTAAAACCTATAAATTTATCGTATCTGAACACTGTTTGAAACAGTTAGATGACACAATGAATGTAATTTTGCAACTATTGATGAAAAAAATAACAGCATCTAGCCTTGTGCCGTGTTTTATTCAAGCAGTAAAAGTCTCAGTAAAAGCTGCTGAAAGCCAAACAGCTGTTTCACACAACGTAAGGTTTAATCCATTTGCCTGTTTCTGTCGGAACTCTAGACCTCTTTACACCCTCTTTCTTTTCTTTTTTCCTAATCAAATCAGGCAAGGTCTTGTGAAACAATAAACTATTTGCCTGGAAGAATAAGCGAGACATTCAAAGGAAGCATAGCTCCATGCAAGTGACTCTTCAAACACTGCCCCTTCTCATCCCTGCTTAAGAGTCTACAGTAAAGCTAATTAATGAACTAACGAAAAAGTGTAATCCAATACAAGAGCTCACTGTCACCGGGAATGGGAGGTTCCATTCCTCCTTTCTTCATCCTCATTCCTAGATTTGTCATTCATCAGACCCTTCCATGAACTGATTTAACTCCAGAAGCCAACACACTCAAACAAGCAGAAAACACTCAATAGTTTTTTTGTGAGGTCAGTGAGTCACACTAGCTCATGGAAAAACCCAATGAGTAGATTACATCATCAGTGAAAGTAGGCAGCTGGTACTGGCTAGGAGAAAGGAACAAAGAGCCAAGCAAATAGGCAGGAGAAGGAGCGAGGCTTTCTCCTTTCAGGAGCGGAGAGCTGTCACATCAAAGTCAGTGAAACAAATCCTACCTTAAATGACCAGGCAACACACTCACGAGAGATCAGACTTCCCATGAACATCAAGTGAATAAAAACCAAAACAAAATTATATATAATTTGAGAAACAAGATAGCATACCTACCATTACTTTAAACAGTCCATATTCTACTAATCCACCATCAGCAACTTGTAATAGTCAAAGTAATCACCTTAAAAAATATATATATATAGGGAAAAAAAAAAATCAGAGAAACATGAAAACCTTTATTATAGGAAGGTCCATAATCTGGATACTGGTCAGATATCACTATAGAGAACCCAGTGAAAATAAACAATACCTTTGCATGCCTAAATGCAGAAGTTTTGGAGTACATCTGTACGACTGCTACATTACAGAAGACATCACCTTCGAACTATTACCACGTCCTCCACAACACTGTTCCAACTACAAATTCCAACAACAATTAAACATACATCATTTCACTGTCCATCCCTACACACGGCACACAGTATCACCCCTTCAATTTCTGTTTTATACTAGAGAGACGGTTATTTATTAGGTGAAAAGCAACAAACAAAGTTATACCTTCACTCAGGATTACAGTTTTTGCTTTAGCCACATATACAACTAAGTCAAACTGACAGCAGTTACTGATCGAACTGAAATTTTGTATGGGAGCTACAGCTGGTAAATCTAGCCGGACCCAAGAACAGACAGTCTATACATGTATGCCACTTACATTTTCCACTGCTTTTTCATGACCAGACACCTTCAAACACACATGAGA